TCAAGACCTTAAAGGAAAAGCAAAATTGTAATCAAGATTAGCTCTTTGGGGTGGGAGAACCTGAATGCTTCCTCTAGGAAATAATAGGTAAGGTGATCGTATGCCCTGGTTTGCTTGGTCACTTCCATTTTATGCTTCTCCTGGCATAAGAGTCAACAGCTGCTTCCTTGCAATTCTTTCCTTTCTTCCATTCTTTTCTTTCTTTCTTTCTTTCTTTCTTTCTTTCTTTCTTTCTTTCTTTCTTTCTTTCTTTCTGCTTCCTTGCACTCTTAAGACATTCTCTCACTCTAGAAAGTAACTGAAATAATATTAATTTTAGAGCAAATATTTGGAAGGAACATATATTACATATTTGTTGTGATCAAAACAATATAGGTGTCCAACAGATCCATTTTCTATCATGTGAATGGGGCCGACAGTGACTACTTTGGCAGGGCCCCTAAATACCATTCACAGACCAGAGCGGGATGCAGCTGGATGCATGAGGAACCCAGCCACACAATACGCACCCCCTAACACCTATCACTTTGGGTTTTTGTTCCCATTCAGAACAGGTCCAATGAATAGGGCACTTGTCATTTTGGTTTGACAGTCAATGGACAGGATGCTCTAAATATGTAAGGTACTCCTATTGATTCTTTAGATCTTTAGATTTTCCTAAATATATCAAAGCTAGGAAGTAGATACTTCTTTGGAAAAACCTAGTTAATTTTCTGTTGTGATATGTGATCATAAAATAGGTGAATAGGAAAGAATCACTGTATTTCAAGTTTGCAGTTATTGATGTTTTGTGGACTATTTAAAATATAAGATTTTTAAAAATTATATTAGAGCCATTAGAAAAAGTTGTATGATATAAATCTCACATGTTCTTAGATTTACAGTTATAGCTTTTTTTATGGGTAAATTTTTTTTTTACATCTTCAAAAGAAACCTTAATAATGCATTAAAAAAAAAAAAAGCCCAACCAACCAGTGTCACTACCAAGCCTTTGGATGATTAACTACCCTATGATATTTCTTTCATCCAAGCTGGTTTATAAAGGAAAGCAAAAACGACAATAAAAGAAATGTACCAATTTATTCTCTACTAATAAAGTATTGAACATTAGTGAAAAAAGTGTGAAATATTGGAATGCAACACAGAGCAATTCCATTACCCATTGCAGTTTTGGGTCGTATACTGTATATAAAGAGTAATTACTTCATTGGTTGGGGACCACAGTGGAGGAATATAGGATTTGATGAAAGAGATTTTAAAATAAAAATTTTATCCCCAAGCATTTGCTTTTCAAAACTTTGTCAACATTACAGACCATCTTATTTTGGTTTTTGGTGTTTGGGGGTGAGGGGCTGGGTAATGGAGTGGGAATACAAGAGAAATAGAAAATTAGGAGTTAACAAATTTTAAAAACTCCTCAGCTAGTAATCCTACATCAGCACATTGTTTTTAAAGTCTCTACTAAAAATAGTTTTTGTAGATGCCGTCAGTGACACATCTTAAGAAGATCCTGTATTTAATATTCGCACACTGCATTATTGACATTACATCTGGTGGTTTCTAACACACCTTTCACTTCCTCCTGTTGAATCAAGTTTTCAAATTTTATTATCTTGCTGATTGTGGTGGCTACAATGTAAGTTTCTGAATGTTTTCAAGTCTTTTGTTTTTGTTGATCACACAGGGATTCTGGGTGGGAATGAAAAGCTTCCTGGGTAGGATGATAAGGCAACATGGTATGTTATGGAGAGAATAGGGTCTGGAGTTGGCCTATCATAGTCCTAATCTAAACTGTCACTTTTCTAGGATCCTCCGTTTCTTCTTCTGCAGAGTGCAAAAAAAATAACTATGTTGTAGGATGATTGTGAAGACCAAAAGAGCACGTGAAACGCATGTTATAATGGTCAATGTGTATCTGTTTATATTCTGCTACTTTCTGAAAAAAAATTTAGATAGGTATAAAAATACAAAAAATACATTAAGAGAAAAACAGACAAACCACCTAATATGATCGAGTGCCAATTCCTTAATTTCTTCTACTCATGTTCCTTCAGTTGATGATATTGGAGAAATTCAGGGAAATAGTCTGGTTACAAAAGTAAAACATGTTAACTGCAAAGAATTATTAATATTATAGGAAGGTATGAAGAAGAAAATAAACTTTCATTACCTTTAATATTTTGACACCTTCACTTCATCTTTTCTCTAGCCTACCCAGTTCAAAAAAACGTTTGGATTATATTCTATCTCACATTTACGTTTTCCCCCTGCCTCCTGTCCCCATCCCAGTTTCTGTTAGATCATAAGTATTTTTGTTGTTATTACTCTCTTTAAATAATATTTTGCAATTTCATAATAGTCTATCATTGTATGTACCATAATTCCACCCAACATGTCAGTGATTTTTTTTTGTTATTATGAACAAAACTGCAGAGATGTTCTTTCGGATATTAATTGAATATATCAGAAATCCCATCCCTTGATTTGTCGTATTTGTTATAGGTTTTTTCCCCACTCACCCTTTTAAATTTAAATTTAAATGAGGAAAAAAAATAAATTTAAATGAGGATTTTTGACATCATGAGTTTTTTATTTTATGTAACTCCTGCTATCCGTTTTTTTTTTCCTTCGTGACTTCCTTCACTGCTTGTATGTTTAAAAGTTATTTCCTATTCCAAGATCACTAAATAACCTACCTAAATTTTCTTCTATTTTTATAATTCACCTTTAGCTTTTTGCTCTTTAATTAATCTAGAATGTTTTGGGACTATCTATGTGAGGTAGATCTGAGGTAGAATTGGGCTATGTCAAGTAGATTTGAGAACCTATTAAGGTAGGATTTAACATAATTTTCTGCAAATAGTTAAGACAAGTACCCAGTATCATACTATTTTCATCTCTATGGTGGATTTGTGATGGTGCTTTATCATAAACAATCTCTTTTTCAATGTTCCTCTTTTGTATTTTAATTACTTAAATATCTGGTACAATAAATGCCTTCTCATTATTTCTCTTTTGCAAAAATTTCTTGGCTATGGTACTCAATTTATTCTTCCAAACAAATTTATCAAATTCACCCCATTTCACTGCACTCCAAACAAATTAGGATTTGCTTGAAAATGCACGAAACCTATATGTTCACCAGAAGAAAAGAATACATCCTTTTAATAATCAGCATTCTGGTGCAGAAACACCATATCTCTATTTACTTAATGTTGATTATGTACTTTTCTTACTATGGTTATGCCTAAGTGATTATAGGTTTTATTGCTATTGTGAAAATATTTTTTCACGTGATCCTTTCAAACTGATAAGGCATTATTTTCAATGAATTTTGATTGTGTAACCAGCCGTTTTCGACTCCAGCTTGATTTATTCTGTATGTAGAAAAAATATTTGTTAAGAGTACTTTCCTTCGTAGACGTAAATGAATTTAACCGGCGCTTGAGAGAGAAAACACTGAAGGCCATGAGATTATTAGAACAGACCAGCTTTGTAATTAGGAAAGAACAGAAGCAGCCACTGGATATCCCTTTTTTTTTCCCCCTAAAGAGTACTATTGCATAGGTGAAATTAATGCACTTTGTTTTATTGCTGGGGAGGGAAAAAAGATAAGAAATTGATGCATCCATGTCTATAATGACAAGTGAAGGGTGACTTTTGGAGCTAATGGGGACCCTGAGAGTATGGAACTGTTCTGTATACTTTGAGCCTTATGCTCTCATCTACTTCATTGTCTGACGGTCCAACTTGGCATGAGCAAGATGAATAATGTAGACAAGTATCTCCCAAGGGACTTCTATTTAAAATGAAGACTCTGAGTGAGTTCTACCTAAAGATTGTGTTTAAAACTGGCCTCCATGTCTTCAGTCCCACTGGTGTTCTTGGAGGCTGCATATACACCTGTCATTCACTCGGCCTCAGTTTCTCAGGTGGCAGGATGCCAGGCCCAGCCATGTTCACAGTGCAAAGTGCTTTAGACTTTTCTGAAGTGAAAGTCAGTATGTAAATGTGCAACATGACGACATTATTATTCTAGCTTTCTGGCTGCTTTCAGCAAGCACTGACTGCCACATGAGGTCTCAAGTGTTCTGGCACAGTGCGGAAGTGTTCAAAAGAAGTTAAAGTAATGAAATTGGATCTACATTTCCATAGATATTCAAGCTGGCATGAAGGAATGGAGTCATGGAATCAGGGTTGGATGGTCTCCACCAAACAGCCTAGGCAAGTGCCTGTGGTGCCAGGCTACTAAGCAGAAATTTCAATCGTGAAAGGCCACCACTATTTCTTCCTCTAGGTCTAAAATTACAAAATGTGCACATTTCCCCCAGGCTCACACCATTCTCTGGGTGCTTTATACTCCATCCCACCCACCCATTCCCTGGAGCACACCAGCTTTGCTTAAAATCCAGGACAAGTTTTAAAATGAAGAACTAACTACCAAGAGAGAAAAATGTTTAGTTAGAACCCGAAAATAGTGTATGCTATTGTGTCAAGTATGTGACTATTACACTTAGGAGGTGGGCGAGGCTTACCTTGTATCTGGTCTTCCTAAGCCACTATTAGGAAGTGTCTACTTAATGAGTGTCAGTTGACCTTGTTTTCCTACCGGCCCCCTCGCCCCATTTTAATTGCTCACAGGTCTTCCAGATTTGGTCATTCAGAGATTTGCCCTCTCCCTAACACCTTTACATCCTTCCTCATGCCCCAACGCTGGCTAAAACGTTTCTGTTCATCAGGGCAATGTCAACAGAATCTGAGTCTCCTGCTTTGCAACCACCTTTATTTTGACATAGGTCCACGATGCTGGGGGCCCTTCCTCCTCCATCTCCCTTCATATTCTGAAATTTTCATGGGTTCTAATCATCCATTTGTATGTAACTACAGAGGCGAAGTTTATTTAAGTTTAAAAATGTGACAGGGACAATTCAAAGAATTCAAGCACTGAAGAATATCTTTACTCACACAGAATCTCTCTTTTTTTCTTAATTGTATTTTAGGACAGTGAAAAAAAGGGATTTATAAATAAAATCTATGCCATCCAGGAGGTCTGTATCAGTGTCCAGAACATCCTAGATGAAGTGGCTTCCTTTGGCGAAAGGATAAAGAAGTGAGTGAGTGATGCTGACATGTGAGCCCTGGCCTTCTGTGGGACAGAGTGTCCGTTTGTTTTTCAGAGGGTGAAATGCCACATTCTTTTTGGCAGGGGATACTCCTTCTGGGTGATCTGTTGCTCAGTTTCTTCATTATTTACTTTGTTTCTGCCAGTCTTTGATTTTATGAAAGTTCTGTCAATTTCCTTCCTGAAATTTAGAACATATTGGTTGGAAAGAAGTCCTACTTGTAGCTTTGAAGAAATAACACCGTCCTAAATTTTAGCACATTTTCAAGTGAAAGACTTTGTTCTTAAATGGAGTATGAAATCGTGATAGGAAAAAAATAAACCAAGCTAGATGAGAATTTCAGGTAACCAAGACACATCTTCATTTTATTATTGGTTGACTTATACTGTCAAGGAACTCTAAAAAAATTTTTTTAAATAGTATTTTATATAGCTCCCTGCAAAAATATTTTCAAATTTATGTATTTAAATAGTTGAGATCATAGTTACAGATGAAATAAACTAATGCACTTTTAAAAATTAAAAAAGCATTCCCTTTCCTAATCTAAAATAGTTTTGTTGAAAGCCAATGTAAAATTAAGACTGTAAGAATGTTCCTAATATAAGAATATAGTCTTAATTTTAGGTTATTTGCATTTTACTTGAATTTTATTTACTAGTGAACTTTTAAAAACAACTCTCTATAAATTCAATAAAGTGGTTTTATAAGGATTGATGATCAGTTAAGATATATGATGGCAAAAAAAAAAAAAAAAGATATATGATGGCCCCATACTACTACTAAAGTGTGAAAATTGGCCTGCATAATGATTCCTACAGTCCATTCAAGAAGGGGTGTTGTAGATCCAGTTAAGCCTACATTCCTTGCTTCAACTCGTTGTTTATTTATATTATTATTCACAATAGTGTTCTGCAGATTTGAATCCTTGGACATACACATTTGAAAGGAGTAAATTATTAAAACGAAAGGTGTGAGACATTCACCGAGTGCTTTCCATGTTTCAGGGAATAATGCATTTTACCTTGTATACTTTTTTAATACATTTCCACATATGCATTGGTGCTGAGTTTCCACTTTTTTATATCATGTTAGAACAGCCTCCCTCTCACTCCAAGTGTATAGCAGGCTTCAGTGTCTGACTTCGGAAGACTGATTCCTACATCACTTTTATTCTTCCTTTCCATGTTATTTCCATTTCTAAGAATGTTCCTTTGTTCCACACACCCTGCCCACTAGAGCATAGTGTACGATCTAAATAGGGCATTTCCCTTTTGAGTATTGTCCTGTCTCTGAGGTACGCTGTGTGTTGATACCTGATGGAAGTATCCCATTTATACCATAAGTGCTGGGTCAGCTCTGAGGTCAGGCAAATTGATGCCTGCTGGGAAGAGGCTTCTTTTTAACTCCGGGTGGTAGGGGGCGTCAGGTGCTTGCCTGGAGAACATCATAGCCAGTTGAAGGATCTGATCAGATCCTGGCTGTGGACCAGCCTTGTGAAGAACTGAGTTTTGTAGAACAGGTACAGACAAAGGTATAGGTATAGGGTGATGTATAGAACCTGCATAGGATCCAGTGAGTCTTACATGAGCCATCTTTTCTGCACATTTTTTTTGAATATTAAAAAGGAGAAAGTCCCCTGGGGTCACATGAGATAAAATGCATCTACCCAGAAAGCAGATTCAGAAGCAATCATTAAGTACCAAGTGAAAAGCCTCTATAATTACCACATCTTGTTACTAAATAATCATTCCAGAACTTTCTTGAATTGCATCTTTTTTGGGGGAAGATCATAGTCTAGATTTAGTTTTCATGATGCACTGTGGAAATAGAAAAGGGCAGTCTTTTTTTTTTTTTTTTCTTCTGACATTAGCTACACTGGTAAGGATTCCTTGCCATTTATCCTTCTAAGACGAGAAAGAAGAACACAGGGAGCCCTTCAGGGAAGCTGCCCAGAAAAAGGGTTTTCTGACTGAAGAGCCAGTGTCCTTGCACACTGAGGAGTGTTGATGGATGGCTCTGAGCTGAGCCCCAGGAAAGCAAGCAGACCCTCAGCCTTCTGTTCTCTCCACAAATGGGCAGAAGCAAGGGAAGCACAGGTGTCAGTGAGAGAAGGAAGGCATGATCCTTTACAGGTGACAGTTAAACAGGGCGCTCACTCTGGCCATGGGAGGAAAAAGACAAAGAGGAAAGCCAGACCCCAAGAGTTACTGAAAACAAGACGAGACTGATCTAATTTTGACTCTTTTACTAGAAAACACATGTTTAGAAAACACTGGACCTTAAATGGACACAAAAGGCAAGCTATTGGCCCACAGAGCTAAAGATTCACTCCTAAGTGTTATGCTGAAGCGAAATATAGGAAGAAGACCCCTTAATCATCCTTTAATGGATCAAAATCTGCCCTAGATAACTCCCCCCCCCTGCCCCCCGCCCAGGTGCACATAACATACGTTACCAGGAAATGAGAGAACATTAAAAATGGTCTTATATCCATATCACATGGAATTTCATATTTTCTTGAAGTGTCTTTGTGGCCCTTGTCACTGCAATAGAGTCCTAGAGTTGATTAGCTCTAAAAACATCATTTTGGTCCTATAAACATCACTACCAGTCCCCCTTGTTACAATAGAAGTTGTCCTCACTTTTCAAGTGGGAAGTTGAGGCATAGAAAGGTTGACTCATCTTAAGTCACAGAGGAGAATCTAGGCTTTGAATGCAGATCACATACTTCCTCTGCTCTTTTTTCATTAAATGATGAAAGGTCCCCCAGTGGTATGTGTTAGATGGTCCTGAGAGGCTGGTTGTTGAGCCAACTGTACGCTTGCACATGGTGACATGGTTATATACCCGACACTGATGACTCCATGCAATGATTCTGTTTTATTATTTTGCCACTCTCTCTCTCTCTCAAAAACTATAAGATTCACTACAGATTATCTACACAAAAGCTGCTAAATCATTACAGTCTTTCCATGTCCCATTTCCCTGATTTTTGGCACCTATTTTTACCTTTTCTGTCTTTTTTGTTGTTGTTGTTGTTCCACTACATTCCTCCCCATCTTCTTAGTACTGTCTTTTTGATAACCCCTTCCCTCATTTTTGTTCATTGATCCCTTTTTTTGGCTCTTTGTTCTGATGTTTTCTCACTATCAACACGGAGTCTCATAGCCTTCCCCAACCCTCTACATTATCCATCATCAGCAGTATGGGAACACTGCAGACCCATCAGCCAGGCCCTGCTATGACCCGTTGTGCCAGCTTACACTCCATTTTCACAGTCTTTCCAACATATGTACTGTGCGTGCTCTCCTTTGCCAGAAATAACCCAGGGAGAATAGTAGTCAATACTGACTTTATTTCTTAATTATCTCTGTATTTCTGGGAAAGGCAATGATGGCAGGTGAATTTTTACAAGGCTAACTACCCTGTTCCCCTTCCTGACTTCTAGATCCATTGAAACATAACTGAAGTGAAAAGTGAGTATTCCTCAAAGGAATTCAAAACCTGAGAGGATTTACACAACAGTGTGAGCGTTAACTCTACAGACAATTGCTGACATTTTATTTCCAGTGTCTGCAATCCAGTGTGAGTTGAAAAAAGAATGAATGGTAGGCCCAGGGGCATTCTCCTCTATGAAAACCTGGAGAAAACAAGATTGGCTACTAGTTTTAGAAGTAGAAAAACACACACACAAAGAGGTAGAAAAACACATTAAAAAAAAAATTTTTTTTTTTTGAGCCACATAAGGAGTCACCCAACTAGTGCAACTTCAGACCGTAAAGTCCCCTGGGACAATCTGGAAGGGTTGGCAGCCAGACCTGTTCACATGGGCCCTGCTTTCATGAAACGGCACACTGTGATTAACCTGTGTCCTCTGACAGGCTACTACAATTGCCTTCTATTCCAGAGAGAAATGCAGTCTTACTAGATCCCTCGTCTAGAGTCTGAGTCAGAATCACTTTATTTTAATCTTTGTTTGAAAAGAGTATATGAAGTGCTCAGATTGCTGACGTGTTACTTTCTCATTCAGTACTTTCAACTGGACAGTCCCATTCTTAAGCTGGCTGGCTATTGTAGCCCTCTGTGTGTTCACAGTCATCCTGTACTTCATTCCACTGAGATACATTGTCCTTGTCTGGGGTAAGTAAAGCCTTTTTTTTTTTTTTTTAAACTGTCTTAGATACTAGGAACGAACTATTTTTAAGGGATGAGTTATACTGTCAGTAGTTCCCTATATTTATGATCATGAAGCTACTCCATGATGAAAAGAGACAGGTCAGTTAAAAATCACAACAGTATAAAGATTTAGGTCTACCTACAAAATGCATTTTTCTTATCTGGCACCATAGGCTCCATCATACTGTAAACATGTAGTTGTGCAGATTCTTCATATATCAAAGTGTAGCTTTGTCTAGATATCATTCTGATTTATTTTTACCACTTATACGTAAACAGAGGCATTTCGATCCGTATGGTGCATTTAGGACAATATGCTTTTGTGCTGTGGTACTTTATCTTGTAGATGTGTCCGTAAACATGGGACTATATATGGCCGCCTATTTAAGAGGTCACCTTTAGGATGCAGGAAGAGGGTCCTTGGCACTGACAGGTTGCTTAGGAATAAGAAATCTGCTTTATGTGTACTAAACAAAAGTGCTTCTGCAAAAACCCACTTTAAAGGTGATATTTTTCCAGTCCTAATTTTTAATGCAGTAATGCTGCAATGCCAACAGTTCCTGTGGCCCTAGATTCCACTTAGGTGATAGTTTCAGCATTCTGCATTGTTTTCGGGTTCCTCTTCTTATCTGAGAAAATTTGTGCTTTGAAGAAAATGGTCAGTGTCTATGATGGACTAACTTATAAAACTACATTAATGATATACATATATATACAAGACCAGCTAGAAGTAGGATTCTTAACCACCGGCCTGCACACACATAAGATTGCTAAACATACACAAAATGCAAAGAACCAAACTGGGTGTTAATTCCAGAAAACACATGTTTACACTAAAAGCAAAAAAGTCAAAGGAATGTTTTATTATTTTAAGACTTTAAGAGAGATGTGTGAATAAAGTGACAGAGGGGTCTGAGGTCCCCACACCCTCCAGTTTTAAGATTCCTATTTCTCTGTTCTTTTTGGCCTATCTTGTCATGTCCTGAGTAAGCCCTCTTACCCTTTATCATCACTCCCCTTACCTTTATAGCTCGGGGAGGGAGGAATAATGATTATTTTTTCCCTTCTTATAATTTGAACAGTTTCAAATAAGATAGTACTTTCACTTGTTTAGTTAAACAAGGACGGAGGCATTTCGTCTCTCGGTGTATTCAAACCCTCAACTTTCATTCCTTCTTTTGATGTATAAAACAGATGCTGTTTTATTGAAGGAATTTGGGGTAAGGCAATAGGTGTGCCACTTTATTATCTCTAACCTTCCTAGGGTCAGATCTGCTGTCTCCATTGTGATAGTTGATGAATTTCTGGGTTTTTTTCCCCCAGCGTTCTCAGAAACTGGAACCCATGGCAGACATCTGGCTCTGTAACCTGGGGTGGCCTCACTGGCTCTGTCTTAAACGTAATTCTTAGAGAATGTGCTCGGGCCTCTTGTTTCACCAAAAGAAATAAAACAAGAACAGTATTTCTTTAGTGCTATGTGATTGCTGAAATATTAACTAGAAATTTAAGACATGGGTCTCACATGGGGAGACGGACCAAAATCAAGAATGCAAAAGATGTTTATTCTGCTGAGCTTCCTGAAGAAGAGCCAAGATGTTCTAACTTATGGTCCAATCTTTACAAGCCTGTTGACTTCATATAAAGCTGTTAATTTATTTTTTCATATGTGAATATGCTTGGTCATATATTAAGTGCAATATAAATTTCAAAGAGTAGACTTATCCCATTGAAATCCTACCTTATATCATACAATGTGTAGAATAGATGCTTCTGGTTTTATATATTGTTTCAACACCTCTATCTCATTAAAGTTTTTGTGTCTATAATAGCTCCAATTTCATCTATATGTACCCCTCAGTCACATTTGCTCTTCAGGTAGTGCAGAGGATTAACTGTTGAATAATTTAGTATGGGTAGATATGGCTCATCTGTAATGGTTCTTGGCTGTTCTATTCCAAAAGTGATCCAAGTAAGTCAATCACAGCATCTTTTGCAAGCATTAAATTTAAATTTTGTGTAATTTAAAAGGAAAATTGCTTCCTGAAAATCTCAAAGCCAGAGATGTAGAAACGGAAACATTTTCTTCCCCCATGGTGAGAACTTTTAAGATCTACTGTCTTAGCAACTTTCAGATATGCAATACAGTATTGTTAACTGTAGTCCTCATGCTATAAATTACATCCCTGTCACTTATTTAGTAACTGAAAATTTGTACCCCTTCACCCATTTCACCCATCCTCCCACTTGCTGCCTCGGGTAACTAAACATACACAAAATGCGAAGTCTGGATCTATGAGCTTGGCTTATTTATTTATTTGACTCATTTCACTTAGCATAATGCTTTCAAGGCCCACCTCCATTGTTGCAAATGGCAAAATATCCTTAATTTTTATGGTTAATAGTCCACTCTATATACATAGACAATATTTCCTTTATCCATTCATCTGTCAGTGGACACTTAGGTTGTTTCCGTGTCTTGGCTATTATATAAACAGGGCTGCAGTGAACATGTGCCAGGAGGGTGTATTTATCTTCTTGAGTTAGTGTTTTTGTTTTCTTTGGATAAATGTCCAGAAGTGGAATTGCAGGAATGTAGGGCAGTACCACTTTTCTTTCTTTCAGGACTATACATACTGTATTCCGTGGCGCAGCAGTTTACACTTCCACCAACAGTGAATGAGGGTTTCTGTTTCTCCACACTTGTGGAGAAGTGCCTGCCAACACTTGTTATTCCTTGTCTTTTTGGTAATAGCCATTCTAACAGTTGTGAGGTGATATCTCAAGGTGTTTTTGAATTGCATTTCCCTGATAGTGATATTGAGCATCTTTTCACATACTAGTTGGCTATCTGTAGGTCTTACTTGGAAAAATGTCAATTTAGATCCTCTCCTTTGCCTATTTTTTTAATTGGATTGTGTTTTTGTTTTTGCTACTGAGTTGTATTAGTTCTTGATATGTTTTGGCTATTAGCCCCATAGCAGAGTTGAGATTTGCAAATGTCTTCTCCCATGCGATAGGTTGCCTTTTCGTTTTATTGGTAGTTTCCTTTGCTGTGCAGAAGCTTTTTAGTAGGATATAGTCTGATTTATTTTTACTTTTGTTGATTTTGCTTCTTGGGGTCAAATCTGAAATGTTTCCAAGACTGATGTCAAGGAGTTTACTGCTTTTATTTTCTTCTCGGAGTTTCATGGCTTCCAGTCTTAAATACAAATCTCTAACCCATTTTGAGTTAATTTTTGCACATAAGATAGTAGTCTGGTTTCATCCTTTTGCATGTGGTTGTCCAGTTTTCTAACACCATTTATGAGACTGTCCTTCCTCCACCGTGTATTCTTGCCTGGTCTGTCATAAATTTCTTGATCACATATGTGTGGTTTTATTTCTGCACTTTCTATTCTGTTCCATTGATCCATTTGTCTGTTTTTATGCCAATATCATACTGTTTTGACTACTATGGCTTTGTAATCAGAGAGCATGATGCCTCCAGCTTTGTCGTTGTTTCTCAAGATTGCTTTGGCTATTTGGGGTCTTTTGTGGTTCCATACCAATTTTAGGTTTGTTCTACTTCTGTGAAAAATGCCATTGAAATTTTGATAAGGATTGCATTGAATCTGTACATTACTTTTGGGTAGTCTCAACATTTTAACACTGTTCTTCCAATCCATGAACATGGACTATCTTTCCATTTATGTATGTGGTCTTCAATTTCTTTCATTATTGTCTTATAGTTTTCAGTATACAAGTCTTTCAGTTCATTAAATTTATTCATGGGTATTTTATTCTTTTTGATACAACTGTGAATGGGATTATTCTTAATTTCTCTTTCTGATAGTTCTTTGTTAGTGTATAGAAACACAACAGATTTTTAACTGATTTTTGTATCCTGGGTTTGCAAGTTGGTTCCCATACACAGAATGCATAGACTGCAGAAAGAGGCAGACCATCTCAGAGTGGTAGGTGGTATATTTTATATACAAGGGAACTGACTTATGAGGCTTCTCTGGAGTGGCCACAGGCAAGTAAATCTCCACCATTGCTCACTAATCTTAAAATTTTACATAGAGGAATTAGCTGGGCTCAGTCTCATATACAGTCCACATGGTCTCAGTAACACCTTACTTTATCAAGGCTACGTCTTTGGAGCAGTTCCCACTGTGAGTACATTTCATTGAAATGTAGAATGTACATTTCAAAAACCAAAGTGGGTGAGGAACCTTTAATTGTGAGTTCAGCAACCAAGTCAACCGTAGGTCATATCCTTTCCATTATATCTTCCCCATAATCCTGCAGCTTCATTGAATTCACTTATTAGGTTTTGTTTTTGTTTTGTTTTTTGGTGGAATCTTTAGTCTTCTATATACATCATGATGTCATTTGCACATACTGAGTTTTTCTTTGCAATTTGGGTATTTTTATTTCTTTTTCTTGGCTGATTACTCTGGCTAGGACTCCCACTAGTCTGTTGAATAAAAGTGTTGAAAGTGGGCTTTATCTTGTTTCTGAACTTAGGGGAAAAAGCTTTTAGTTTTTCATCACTATGTTAGCTATGGATTGTCATATATGGCCTTTGTTATATTGATGTACGTTTCCTCTGTATCCACTTTGTGGAAAGTTTTTATCATCAGTGGATGTTGAATTTTGTTAAATGCTGTTCTGCATCTATTGAGATGATCATCTGATTTTTATCCTTCATTTTCTTAACATAGCGTATGACACTGATTGGTTTGCAGATGTTGTACTATCCTTGTATCCCTGGAATAAATCCAAATTAATTGTGGTAAATAAGACTTTTAGGGATCCCTGGGTGGCGCAGCGGTTTGGCGCCTGCCTTTGGCCCAGGGCGCGATCCTGGAGACCCGGGATCGAATCCCACATCGGGCTTCCGGTGCATGGAGCCTGCTTCTCCCTCTGCCTGTGTCTCTGCCTCTCTCTCTCTCTCTGTGACTATCATAAATAAATAAAAA